TAATGACCGAACCGTCAACAAGAAATTCAAATGAGGTTGTCAATACAGCAACGTAATTTCTAAATGCCCTTCGATCCTAACTTCTAAATAAATTTTTAAAAACCAACAACCCTCCTAAGAAGGGAAATAGGTACAAATAGAAATTATGGGGAATTGAATGGTAGTTGTTTCATACGAATCGGTGCGATATTGAATGTGATCGTATATCTTTTGTTTTTTTTTGTTTTTTCTATATATAAAAAATCATGTGATATGACATAAATTTGACCATTTTGACTTTTCATTTCGACTTTGACCTACAAAGTCGAAACATTTCGACTTTTGGGTTTTCATTTCGACTTCATGTATAGTTATAATAGCTACAGGTTTTTTTATAAAAATTGAAATTAGATTTTCTAAAAATTTGAGATAAATAAAGTTGTTATAATGTTATAGCTTATAAAATAATTCTTCTTTTATACAAATATTTTTTTTAAAAAATGGTAATAAATTGATTTTTTCTAAAGAAATATTAGCACTAAAAAATGTTTCAATTAAATCTTCAATTATTTTCTTTTTTTTTATTTGTTAAAAATAAAACTTGAAGATTATTAATAATTATTATGCCTTTTATTTTCATAAACTTTTTTATTTGTTAAATATGTTTTACTATCATAATGATTATCTATTGTTGATTTACAATTTTATTTAATGGGATAGTCACAAAAAATACAAAAAAGAATTCTATTGTTAATACAAAATTTATTAGAATGTTCTTTTTATCAAGTAAGTACTATTATTTATTTCAGCTTTTTTTTTATCTTAAATTACTTCTAAAAAAAGATTTGATTTAAGTTATATATATATAAAAGATTATTAATATTAATTATTATACAATAATTTACTTAATAATAACAACTTTTATGTAATAGTTTACAATAAATCAAGCTAATTATGTTTTAGTTTTATTATGCAGTTTATGCAATTTTATACAATTTGCATAAAATCATCATTCTTGGTTTAGATCTTAACTTTATTATAAGATTATAATAAATTTTTTGAAGAATTTAATTGGTTAGCTGATTATAAAGTAATATATTTAATATAGTTGATTTAAAAATTCATCATATTAAAAAATTCATTATATTAAGGTTTGATTGTAATAATAAAAAAGCCAAAATTTTTATATTTTAAATCATGGATATCATCAGTTTATTTTTTAATAATAGTTTTTTTCATCAAAGTAGTACAGTATATTAAAGGTTGTTAAACAATATAAAGAGAAATTTAAGAATGTTATAACTATATATAAAAGAAAGAAAGTTAATAAATAAGATTAATTAATATATTTCAGACATTTAAAAATGATTTTGATAAATGAAAATAATTATTATTTTGATTTTTAATAAATAAAATAATGTTTTAAATATTTTATTATATAGGAACATTTCCAGTAAAATCAAGTTATGAGGCATAGTGATTTTATTGGAAATGCTCCTATATAATATTTTAGATTTAGATCATTTAACAATTATAATAAAAATATTATATATAAGTATATAAGTTGTATTATTAAGTATTTAACTATTTTGCTATTTATAAATACTATGTTTGATATTAAATTATATTTAAGTTATCTTTATCAAAATAAATATATTTAATTAATTAGTTATGAATATATATACAATATATAAAAATTGTAAATATTAAATTAAAGATATTTTTAAAATAAATAATTTTTTTGATAAAATTAATGGATTATTTATATTAATTTAAAATATAATTATTTTTAACTAAAATAGCAATTGATTAGTTATAATTAATATGTAATTAATAAAAATATATGATTTTAACAAATTTTTATATAGATAATAATGTTACGCATATTATAGGAAATATTTTTTCTTAATTGTATTTACGTTCTTAAAATCTTTAAAAGAAAATTTAAAATTGCAAAAATTTATTTGAAAAGAAATGATAGTTTATTGTGTTTATTACCTTTATTATTATTAAAAGCACTTTTTTATATTGCATAACATAGGATAGATTCCTCATATTTAGAATGGAATATTGAAAATATTTTCTTTAAGACGAAACATCGAGGAATTAAAAAAATTATTAACAATTAATTTTGTCTCGAGAATTCGATTATTTATATTTAACCGATCTACCGGTTCATATTCTTAGTTTGGAAAGAAATGAATTTTTTATTTTTTTGAAAATTATGAATTCAAAAGGATTTCCATCTGAACGACAATTTCTGTAATTTTAGACAGAGCATTAGAAGAATTTCATATATAATATAACGATAAACTCAAAAAAATTTATACATAATTATTTGATTCCTAAAAAAAAATATTTTTGAATATTAAACGAGTCTATATGGATGCAAAATTATCGTGCGGTAAACTTACTAGGATTGTTAAAGGGTAGACCTTATTATAAGAGGAATTAGGAAAAAAAACATTTTTTTTGAACGCAATACTGATTTTTAAAATTAGGCGGCACGTGGAAATATAACATCATACGAGTATCATGTGACTTCTTACTCGGCAAAGACACAAATTAACGCGTTCAATAATTTTTTCAAAAAAATAATACTTCAATCCAAATAAGTAAAATTAATAGAATCTTTTGTTCACATTAACTTCTCTTTCCCACTTTCATCCCAAACCCGCTAAGTAAAATAAAATTAGGGGCAGCCACGGCGAACCATAACCACCCCAACTACCAGAAATTATGCGCTCGAGACATCCATGAGGATGTTCGGAGCGATAGCCGCCAGCTAAGTGCAATGCCAGCAACCACCGCCCGCATCTCTGCCTTATTGATCACAGAAATGCCGCGCCAGGTAAGTATGAGTTCTAACTAAACTCAATGCTGTTATATATATAGGGATTTTTCAAAATTGCGAGAATTGTGGGATTGATATTGAATGCTGTAACACAAATATCAATCACGTGAACAGAAAAATTATCATTTCGTGTTTTCATCAAAAAATTTTTTTTTTGCTATTTTCTTAAAACTTTATCTTTTTCCTTCCTTACTCCAACGATCCACCCTTTTTGTTATCTACATGTTCTTGTCCATGAACTTTAAAATTATGACTGGTGCACGTGAAGACGACCGACAGTAGTATGTGTTTGTTTTGCTCGTTCCAACCTTTGACGCGCTTTCATATACATTGAATGATATTTGTTGTGTTAGCTTCAAAAAACAAACGAATAGACAAGATTATTATTATAATAGAAAGAATTCTTTTGGTAAAGATAAAACCATTTTTTTTTTATAGTGTAATATCTCTTTTAATAAGTTTTTTACATTATAAAAACAATAAACTAAAATATCGGATAAACTATGTTGTTGCTACATCACTTCAGGGACGATTACTCCATATTCAACGGTTCCATTAAATTCCTCAACGATTGCTTCCAGTCACAACTCAATTACAGCTTTACCTAGCTTGAAACCAGCTCTTGAACATACTCCTGTTAATAACTTTAATGCTCGAGAAGTTTCGGATTTTTTGAATAACAGTAAATGAGCAGCCCAAATCATGAATTAAAGCTTTTAAAGTTTTTCGTTTTATTAATTTTTTTTCTTCTAGCCTGGAAGGAAACACTAGAACAATATCATGATGATAATCTACCCGAATCTGGTAATGATAAATAAACTAAAATTACTTTATATAATATAATATAAATAATTTTTTTGTTTTAATAGAAAAACCTGAATTGTATAAATCGACAGAAAGGGCTTGGGGATCTAGAAATGGCCTTGTGTGGGGACAAAAAGGTTATTATCCAGTATGAAATAATTAACATCACATTTTAATACCATTATTAATTTTAATTTATTTAGGACATTTAATGGCAAATGGAAATGACTTCTTTGATGAATTGAGAAAATCATCGTTTTCTCAAGTATCGAATGGTCAACCATCGATATCCAAGCAAATCGAACGATCATAAAAAGGATATACGTATTATATGGATAAAATAAATAGTTATTTGAGAAAGAATTGATAAATGAAAATTAGCAATCGTTTCACCTTTTTTTTATTGCTATTATATTATTTTTAAAGACAAAATCTATACGAAATAAAATAAAAATTTTTTTTAAAAAAAAACAAGAAAAAGCCAAATTAATTCAACCATGCTATCTTAATTGCCAGTTAATAATAAATTGGGAAACGGATTTATACTATGAAATATATATAAATAGAGATTATATATATAGTATTTTTTTTTTGAAGAAATAATTTTCCCATCTGTTCTTTATCACATCGGATATATACAAAAAATAGAAGAGAATTATGATGCACCGTTAACAATCCCACCTTCCTTCCAAGGACCTGCATCCGCAAGTTGACAACCACCCTCACAATCACATTTACCACCAAAAGCGGAAGGTAAATTCTCGGGGGGAATATTTTCCAATAAAGTAGATTGATATTTTGAATTAAGTATAACAATCTTGGCAGCAGTAACTTCATCTAATAAAGGTTTAACTAAACCCCAAACAGAAGAAAATAACATGGGAGCGTTGATAATATAAAATTTACCCATACGCTCAGGATAATAGTTTTGACCAATGTTGGAAGCTTGCTTAACGAAGCCAAAAACGTTTGAAAAGGAACGTAAACTAACCCCTTTGAGGTCAAGAATGGTACAAGAGGTTTCAATTAATTTGCCATACTTCTCAGAACAGGAAGGTAATCTGACATCAGCCAATCTTTCATATTCGACGACCAAGTTTTGAATTTGCCTTTCTAATGTGGTGACTTGATATAAAGCTTTTACATCAACTTTACCAATTTCTTCAATATAGATTGGTCTACCATCTTTATCAGTCTTATGATAATACCTTGGATAATATTTCATCACTTCATCACGCTCTTTATAATCAAATGTGGCTACTAATTCATCGACACCAAAGTCTTTGCGCCATTTTTCACAATCCGTAAACATTTTTTTTGTTTTAACTAAATCAAATTTACGTGCACGTAAGAACCTTAATAAACATGCATCATCATGACGTTTTTCATCAAATATTCCTCCTTCCTTGATTTCTTCACGAAACTTATCCAATGTTTCTTGTTGTTGAGGACTTAAATTACCGATATGTCCCGTGAACTTTTGTTGTTCACTTACAGTTGCTGATGGTGGCATCTTTTTTTTTTTTATTGTGTAAGGGTTTTTAAAATAATTTTTTTTGGAGAAAACAGACGAAATAATAGAGGTTTTCTGTTAAATTTTGATAAAGGAAGTGCGGTTTTTTGTCGGGATTTCAAGGTGAGAGATTGTCAAAAGATCAGCTTTTTGCTCTTTTTAAAATTTTATTTAAAGTAGTCCAATATTTAAAGGTATTAATTATTAAAAAATGACCGCGTGGTATTGGTTTAAATTTAGATCCTTTTTAAGGAAGTTGATATCAGATATCTGTACGTCCACATCCGAAATTTCTAATGATAAAAAAACAAAATATAAATGCAAGTAAAGTTGGTCAAATAGATTTATTTTTAATTTATGTAATATGTACGGAATGAACCACTCAATACCTATTCGTCTCTTTTTTCTTTGTGATGCGAATTTATTTGTTTTCATCGTGCTTAATGGAGAAATAAATGAGGGTATTTTTGTGCTGAGTTTACTTTCTGTTCCACTTTTAATTGAAAGGACCAATAAGAATGTATGTGAGAAAGAATTACATGCATAGAAAATCTAATTAAAAACCAGGGAATTCTTGTTGCCTTTCTTACCAAATGTAGTTTAGATATTTTCTTCTCGTAAAAATTTTCAATAATCTATTAATAGCATATATTCGGCCTCATGAACTACTAAAATGAAATGCTAAGAAAAGTGTTGTTACATCAACATTCGTTCATGGTTCAAAAAGGTGGTCTCGTGTAACTGCCGTAATCCTCTAATACGTGAGTGATCGCTTCTTTTTTATTAAAAAAAAATGAAAAAATTGGAATACTTTCTCGACATATTTTTTTTTTTTTCATTTCAAGATGATTCCTCTTATCAATTAAATTAATTATTATTATTATTTTTTTTTTACTGCTGTTATTTTAAATTACACGATCATTTGTGTAAGTCTTGATTGAAAAAACGCGTACAAGTGTAGAAATTTATTGGTATCAATCGATAATTGACTCGTAACTGGTTCGAGCGCATGTTTATTACAAATCACAAGTCAAAAAAAAATAAAAAACCCAAATCGTTACTAATGGTGCAATCGAATCCCTTTACAAATAAGGCAAAATATCATCCGAGAGTTTTTTGGTACAACCAATTCATGTTAATCATGCCATATAAAAAGGGATTTTTTTTTTTCAAAATCTGATTTCTTTACCACATCTTTTTGTTGGTTAAATTTTTTTAATCGGTAGAAAAAAGATTTTCTTATTAAATTATAGCAAACTTAGCAAACCGATAATCTTAAAACACTATTTTTTTCTTTTGAAAAGTTTTATAGTAACTTAAAATATGTCAACAAACGCCAGAGACATTCCCGCCATAAAGAAAGCTGAACCTGGAACGCCACTTCCACCAAATTACAGTACAACGCCTTTAGGGACAATTTATTCTAGCACACCTGGAGGTATTTGCATTTCACAACGCGTTAATTACATTTCAGAAGATGGAATGATCTATTAAATTACTTTACGTCTAATTTTGTTTTAAAATAAAGGATCGAAAATTATGTATGATCGTACCACATTACTTAATCTTGCTAATTCTCCATTGGCAAAAACTCCACCATCTAACCTGGCTTATGTTCCTGGAGTAACAAAAGTTCCCTATCATGTGAACAATGATAACTCATCAAAACCCGATCATAATAACAATAATACGGCAATTCAGGTAGAAGGACATTTAGCTCCTCCAAAAGTTCATCCCTTTCCTGGACTCCAGCAACAAGGTGGTAATGATAATAAACACAATGACACGGCTGATGGTGAAAGTGGTGATGAAGATGTTCATGGTATGTAACTCGTTTTTATCGTAAATTGAAATAAAATATTTTTCTGATGTGAGAATATCATCTTCCTTTCTAGATAACAAAGAACATCAAGATCATGGTGTATTTGATATGGATATGGAGTAAAGTGTAAATTCAAATTCTTGTACAGATTCATAATTTAGATTAGTTTTTATGTTGAAATAAGTAGTAAGTCTTGCAACATGAATGATCCTCTCCTTTGCAAAAAAAAATGGATTTTTTTTTTTTTTTTGGAACAATTTTTGGATAAATAAAATAAATTTATTTATGACGCGGATTTGTTTGTTCTTAATTGAAGATGATCATTTATATTTCCAATATTAATTAATAATTATAAAACAACTCCCCTTTTCAAACATATTATCTGAAATAAATAAATCCTACATTTTATTTAATCTTCCTCACAAATATTCTATTTTTAACAGTATAAGCGAAAAAAATAACGCATAATACTTTAAAAATATTTTTGATTCTTCCATTTTCTTTTCCGTTACGTTTATTAATAAATTTTGGTTTAGAAAATAATAACCAATTTAATAATTTATAATTCGATTCTTTATATGGAGCATATCTTCCTTCTAGCAATTTCTCGGTTAAAAATGGTGACGTTAATACACTCCTTTCATGTGTAAACGTTTCAAATGATTTACGTCCATGATATGCTCCTATTCCTGATGCACCTGTTCCTCCAAATGGTAAATTTGGCACTAATTGGCAAAAGAGAACGTGTAAAGTCAGTGTCAAAAAAGGGGGGAGATGATGTTAAATTTATTATCCTACCGGTACAATGAATGAAACAATCGTTAACGGTTACACCACCGGACCGCGTATTATTCAAAACTAATGAAATCGAAAAAAAAAATAATAATGTCATCCTTAGGGGTTTTTTCTCATCAAATTATATTGTTTGATACTTACTATGTTTGATGGTATCATTATTATTGCTAAAAGGATATAAAGATAAAGGAATGTCTCTTTCATTAATGTATTCAATGGCTTCATCGATACTTTCAACGACAACGATAGGTAAAATAGGGCCAAATATCTCATCTTCCATTAATTTATCATCTTTGGGTACATTGGCGACGATAGTAGGATCGATAAACAAATTGTCACGATCTGCTTTTCCTCCGATAACCACATTTCCTTTGGTTTGATCCAATAATTTAGCTAAACGATCAAAATGACTTTGATTAATTATACGAGCATAATCTGAAGAATTTTGTATATCCTTGCCGAATTGAGACTCTATCACTTTAGGAAATTCTAAAAGTAAAGCTTCTTGGATTTTTTTTGTGCACAAGATATAATCTGGTGCAATACAAGTTTGACCAACATTAAATGATTTTGACCAAATCAATCTCTTTGCTGTTACGGTAATATTGATATTATCATCTAAAATTGCGGGACTTTTCCCTCCCAACTCAAGTGTGACAGGAGTTAAATGTTTTGACGCGGCCGACATGATGATTTTACCCACTACACCTGATCCTGTAAAGAATATATGGTTAAATTTATGAGTTAATAATTCCGTCATTTCTTTTGATCCTCCATTTATACACCTATATGATCTTTGATCCAAATATTTTGGCAATAATGTGCAAAGTATGGTTGCTGAATTCATTGGTAATTCTGATGGTTTGATTATTGCCGTACATCCTGCTGCTATCGCCCCTACTAATGGTGTTAATACCAAACTAATTGGATAATTCCATGCTCCAATTATGAGAACCGTTCCTTAAAAATAAAATAAAATAAAATAAAATTAACTTAATTTTTGATGGGAGAAAAAAAAAGGTTAGTACTGTACATACCAACGGGATCTTTCCTGATATGACATCTATTTAACTTATGCGCCAAAGCAACTTTAACATATTCAGGAGAGGCCCATTCTTCCAATTGATTAATCGAATCCAAACATTCTTGTTTAATCATATCAATTTCTCCTAATAATGATTCGATTTTATTTTTATGTAAATCCTTGTACAATGCATCACAAATTTCATCCTCATTTTCATCTAGTAAATTGTACAATTGTTCAAGTTGCTTTTTACGATAATTTAATGGTTTCGTTAAATTTTGTTTAAAAGAATTTCGAAGTTCCTCAATAATCTTTTTTTTAAGAAGGAAAAAAAAGAGTTAATCATTCAATTGCTCGTTTTTTATTTATTTATTTTTTTTTTTTTTTACAAAAAAAATAAAATAAAATAAAATAAAATAATTAACTTACTTGAGGATATTCATTAACATCCATATATTTTGTCGTCATTTTTAAATAATTTTGATGTGAAAATGAAAAAAAATTACCCTTTACCGTTTCATTTTATATATCATTGATATTCCAAAATTATCTTGGATCACATAACATTAGATCACATAACATATTATCGAACTAAAATAGGATAAATGAATGAAAATCCCTTAAAATCTTAAAAAATATCCGCTTTTTTTTTTTAAAAAAAATTTTATCGCCTTTTTTTTTCTCTCCCAAAATAAGGATGGTACAAACGCATGAAAAAACTGCAACTAGTCCAGTTAATATTGCCGTAAGTAAAATAAAAATCATTATCATTTTTCTTCATTATTCTATATATATTTTTTTTCTTAAAAATATTGTTAAAACAAACCTTTTATTCGTCAAATTTCAGGTCATAAAATATTGGGGAAAGAGAGATACGGAATTGATATTACCAAGCAATTCATCAATTTCAATTACATTTTCAAAAGAACACTTACAAAGTAAAACCACGATTAGAGCATCACCATTATTTGAAAAAACGCGGTTATGGCTTAACGGTATCGAAGAGATCAACGTTATCAACAACAAACGGTTACAGAATTGTTTTAGAGAAACAAAACTCTTACGTAAAGAGTATGAAGACAAACTTAGTAAAGAAATTGGTATAGATAATGTAATACCATTATCCACTTATCATTTACACATTTGTTCGGTAAACAATTTTCCTACAGCGGCAGGTTTAGCTAGTTCGGCATCAGGATTTGCTTGTTTGGTTTATACTTTATCACAATTATATGAATTACCCGTATCCGCTACGGAATTATCAAAGATCGCAAGGCAAGGTTCCGGTTCGGCTTGTCGTTCCTTATTTGGTGGATTTGTTAGTTGGCAGATGGGATCAAAACAAGATGGATCTGATAGTCAAGCGTTACAAATCGCTTCCTCTGATCATTGGCCTGAATTAGAAGTATTAATTTGTATAATAAGTGATGCAAAGAAAGGGACGTCTAGTACCGAAGGGATGCAAAGTACTGTTAAAACTTCAACACTTCTTCAACATCGTATTAATAATGTTGTACCTGAACGTATGAAATTAATGACAAATTCGATTTTGCGAAAGGATTTTAACAAGTTTGCTGAATTAACCATGAAAGATTCAAATCAATTTCATGCTTGCTGTCTTGATACCTTTCCTCCCATTTTTTATCTTAATGATACTTCTCGTGCCATAATTAGTGTCATCACTGAATATAATGATAAATCTGGTGAATATAAAGCTGCTTATACCTTTGATGCCGGTCCTAATGCTGTAATTTATGCTTTAAAACGAAATATTCCCGAAATTATTAATTTAATTTCCAAATATTTTCCTCCAAATCAAGATAATCAAACATTTTTTTCGGATCCTTCTAAATTATTTTCGGATAAAAAAAAATTAGGTAAATTACCTTTACCCGCTAATTTTAATGAAAATATTATTCCTGTTTTTCCTAATGATAGTGTTAAACAAATTTTACACACTTGTGTTGGAAATGGTCCGAGGGTCAAAAAGGATGAAAGTTTATTAAATGCTGCTGGGTTTCCAAAAACTTTAAAATAGTAATGAAAATTCCCCTATTCATTTCATCATGTTTCCTATTTTTTTGTATAGTAACATTATAAATAATAAATTGTTCTTAGGTTTAACTTTTTTTTTCAAAATTTTTTTATTTATTTATTGTTTAAGTCTGTACAAATATAAAAAAATCTTTTTTTACTCGCTAAAATAATTCCATTAAAAAATAAAATAAAAAAAAATTATGATATATATTATTATAAAATTCAATTTACAAGAGAGAGATATATATATTATAAGAGGCAGAATATAGACTTCTAAAAACATTCTAAAGGAATTAAATCCTTGATAAAAATAAAAAAAGGAATAATGAGCAAAAAAAAAAATATTTAAACATGTAAAGAAGAAAAAAACGTTATATACTGAGCTGTTTGAAACCTTTGAGAAATGGAACTCCTCAGAAGTTTCGTGATAAAAAGAAAAAAGGTTTCAATTTGTTTGGGTCACATCATTCATTATAACATCATCCATAATAGTTGTTCCTTCCGTCATTTCTTTTGATGCATTTGAAATGGTATCATTCAAATTTGCTTCCGTTGTAAATTCATTATTGTTAACAGATGAAGTTGGAGGGTTAATAGAATTTATGCTACCTGTAGTAACTTCACACGGATGATTTTCAAAAAATTTATTGGAAAGCGTATGAGAATATCTTCCTCTTCTTGGTCTAACTTCTGCAGTGGTATACTTTGCACGATATAATTCCAAGGCTTTATGAAGAAGCGATTTCCTACCATCAAGTTTGGCTTGATTAAGATAAGCCTTTTTTTTCATCACCAGTCAAAATAAATATTTAGAATTATTATTATTCAGATAATTATTAAAAAAAAAATTTGTCAGAATAACAAATAAGCAAAAATTAAAAATCTCACCAATTTCCATCCCAATTCGTTCATATTTGTCTCAAATTCATACTTAGAACCTTGATATTCATTTTTTGGAACATTAGCTTTTGGAAAAATACAATTGTTCTTTTTAAATTCTTCTGGTATATCCATTAAATTTATAGCATCTACATCAACATGTATTCTAATTCTAGTAGATGTACCTTTTTCAAAAATTTCCAATGTCAAATGTTTAGCAGCCCCTTTTTGCTTCTTTGCTGAATTATCATTTATACCATCATGCCCATCTCCGTCTCTCGTAACTCTTTTACGTAAAGTTCCATTCATAATCTTTTCGTTACGAACTACTCTACGAGAACGTAACACGGGATCACGGTTTCTATAGCTATCTACGGCTCTTTGTAGTAGGCCTCTTCTACCTCCAATTTCTTCTTTATTTAACCATGCCAACTTCCATCCAAGCGAATTACATTCATTTTCATAAGACCACCTGTTTCCTTGATATTTATCTTCAGTACAATTAGCCCTTGGATATAGACAATTTTCGCGTCTAAATTGCTCACCGATATCATCTAAATTTGCTTTGTCAATATCAATGCGTATACGATATTCTTTATTGTTACCTTTAACTGAATATGTGAAGACAACCCACGGTATTCCATCGCATTCTTCAATTATGGGATCCGTAGCCGGAAGCGCATGATTTGGTGTGGGATTTGAAATCGAAGTATCTGGAGACATTGAATCTGTTGATTGATGTGACTTATCAGAAGTTGGTAGTGGGGAAGGTTGTTGATATTGCTGCGGGACATAAAATTGGTGTTGCTGTAGATTTATTTGTTGTTGTTGATGTTGTTGATTATGATGTGATCGAATTTGTTGGTTCTCGTGTATAGATTGTTGATAATTATGATGATCTGGATATAAATGATTTACAATTGTTGATCTTGATGGATCCTGTGATGACGATGATGTTACAAAATTTGAAGATATGTAATGATTGTTGTTACCTTTGTTAATAAAAGTTACCGGTGAAATTGATGTAGAATTAGAAATTGGCGTGTTTTGTGTAGTCGAATTATGCATATTAATATTAACGACAAGGCTATCGATGTCAGTGGTAGCATTAGAAATTTCATCCAAAGGGTTTTGCTTTTTGGATTCTTTAACCTTCTTTCTCTTAACACGTTGCACGGTCCTTTCGATCATTGACAGTTGTTCAATTGTTAAGGCTCCCAAGAGTTCTTCGGTGCGTGGGTCAGGTGTTAAGAGAGCAGATATGGTGACTACAGGTACGGCGGACGTGTTGGAGGAGTTGTTGTATGTTAAGTTAGACTGTGAAGCAGGTAGAATAGCTGCAGAAGAGTGTGCAAAGGTATCTACAGTTCCTGAAATTTGAGGATTTGTCGTTGAAATTTTCGTTCTTGTCACTGGCGTCGCAATGATTTCTGATGTTGCAGCACCAATTCCAGCTCCGGCTGGCTGCACCCAGGCAGCAAGACCCACGACAATTGGGGAATGTGGCCCTGAACGTTGTTGTTGCTGTTGTTGTTGTTGTTGTTGTGTAGAGGTTGTATTATTAGTAAGAACATGACTTGTGGAATTTGTACCGCGTGTTGTTATAATTTGAGGAGTTAACGTATTTTGTGTCGTATGAATCGTTGGTGCGTTAGTATTAGAAATTTGTGGGTTTTCGTGCTGGAGAGGCTGTTGCATCTTTAAGATATTAAGTTAATAGTGTGAAATTTTTTTGCGAACGCAACAGGGGATAAACCAAAAAAAAATTCTTTGAAAAAAAAAATTTTAATTAGGAACCCCTGAGAGTTATAATACTTTTCGATATATGAGAATGCATCAATGATATATATATTCACCCAATTAAAAAAAAAATTGTTTTAACGTATTACGAATTACGATTGGTTACCGTGCGAAATTAACGCTCTGTAAGGGTTTTTGTATCCCTGATTTAGTCAACAAGGGTTTAAACTTTAAATATGTTGGTCAATGCTTTTTTTTTATGATGATACACATTTAAACATTTTTTTATAAAACCATATCAGATATTTAAAATTACAATTAATTAGTAAATTATGCTGTGTTACCTTTTTTAATAAGCAAATACGTACCCATATTTATATTTCCTTTTTGAATGAATCCATTGAAATTTATTTTTTTTTTGGTAGTAATTCTATGATCCCGTTTATAAACATGAAAACGATGTCTAAAATCTTGGAAACCTGGGCAGTATTGTTCGCATCGAATCGAATCAAAATATGTAAACGATGATACAATATGAATTCCTATTTTTAAAATCTACTTTTAGGCATAAGGCATAAGTTTTTTCAAATGATTCATTTGAGAACTATGTGCAAAGGCTGGTTTGCTTAAACGTCTAATTTTAGAACGGGAAACACCCGTATTTAAATGTCTTTTTCCGGCTTTGAACCTTTTAAATTTTCCGTTACCTAAAATACGAAATCTGTATGAACGTTTATGGTAAGATAATTTGATCCAAAACGTAATTAGATTCAAAGGATTAAGATTAATTGGTTCATTTTACCTTTTCTTTGCTCCTGAATGAGTCTTCATTTTATGTGACTTACATCTAATAAAAACGGGAGGTATTAATGTGATACGCGTAGGATTAATGAAATAAAAAGGAAAGCTTTGAAACACATTTTTTTGTGAATAATAATTAGTTAAGAATAAGGGGTGATGAGTTGCTTTGGTACTGAAAGGTTTGGTAATATTATGGAACAAACGGATATTTGAACTATGTGCTACCACGGGGTTAGAAACAATCCTTTGTCCTAATACACATAATTTAAAATTAGACGGACGAATATTTAAACAAAATAGAATTGAGGTATAATGAAAAGGTTCATACCAAGATTAAGAAGAAAGGACATTTTTTTTATATTTTTTTTTTAAGATGAAAGTTTTTTATGATAAGTCGACGTTTTGTCGCACAGGGAGACTATCATCACGTGAAAGATTTATTACATCATTCCATTGATCCGCAAATTCTTTTGCCTCAACATATCTTTTTTTCCTCAACATGGATTTATAAATCTTTACCAACATTAACTCAGAAGGAGGGGACTTAAATTCATCCTCCATAACTTTTAAAAACTCTACAGCTTTTTTAGTTAATCCTTTGTCATATAAATTAAATAATATATAACTAAATATCTGATGAGTCGGGTTTAAATTAAATTCATGGAACATTTGTTCAATATAATTTTTAGCCTTATCCATATCCATTCTACTAGAATTTCTAACGAGAGTATTAAACAAGTAAATATGCGGTGATAATTCGGTTTCTATGAAAAGTCGAAAACATCTATCCATCATTAATAAATCTCCTGCGTTTCCGTGCGCATTCATTAAATAATTGAAGGTATGGATGATCATGGATTTACTACGTAAAATTTCTTGCTTTGTTAATTCTTTTGAGAGATTGTTTTGAGAAAATGTCATCTCGAGTAAACCTTGAGCAGATCCCAAATCGTTTGATGCTAAAAACAATCGAGCCAAGAGGCAATTTGTTATTATATTTGGCTTTTTACCACTACTTCTAAGACTGATCAAGATCCTTTGCGCTCTCCGAAACCCTTCTTCCTTTCCTTTACGTGATTTAATCATACGCCAACATGAAGTTATATAAGAATTATACATATATGTAGTAGGTTGAATTTTTCTTTTGATCATTTCTTCCCAAAGGTTATCACATATTTTAGGACTTCCTATTAAACTAAATGTATTCAACATATGGGTAAAATCATTAACATCTGGTTCAATCCCAATGCTTTTCATTTTATTAAATATAAAAAAAACTTGATTTTTCAAAATATATCTTTGTTTCTCATCAAAAGTTTTTTCAAATGAAAAATTTTTTAATACTTTAGAATGTTGTAAAGGTGATAGAAGATGTAATTGGTTTTTATGGTAAAGTTCTAAATATAATCTCCAGGTTTCTTTGGTATCATTTTGATAAATCGTTTGTAAAAGTGGTAAAACTTCTTTTGGTGCTACTTGTCTTAAAGAGTTGGAACTATCTTTTTTCTTGGGAGGATCATATAAAAATGAATGATGTGTTGCAATGCTAGTGGTGTACAATTGTTGTACCTTTCCAATCTTTATTAATGAATTTCTGTGTGGTTTAAACGAATTCCAAAGTCTAACAGCAATTGACATTTTTTGGTCTTTTTTTTAAAAAAAAAAAATTGATAAGAAAAAAACTCTTTCATCTGTGACACAACATAAAAATCAAAATTATCACGTGACGTTTAAATTTAAATTCGCGTCTCACAAGTATTTTTTCTCGAAACTCATTCACCATGAATTCTCATTATTCCACACGAAAAAAATGGCAAACCCTACTCAATATCCTCATACTTCAATTATTAGGAATTTTTTTTTTTGCAAAAGGATTTTTTCCATACAAAGCTAATTTATCAGGCCTGTCATCAATAAATGATTTACCTCCATTACCTACTGGAGAAAAAATACTACCACCAAAGCCAAAATTTGATCGATTGGTATTTATGCTAATTGATGCACTAAGAAGGTTTGTTTATGTTTTAATCTTTTTATTCAAGTTTCGTTTAATTGATTTAATTAAACGCCTTAATCGACATTTTAATTATAGCGATTTCGTGTTTGGAAAGAATTCTGGATTGAAATTTGTTCAAAGGTAAATAAACGAATATCGGTTAACTTTTTCAACTTCGTCGAATTAGTGAATCCTAATCGTAATTCCGTCAGTCTTATTTCAGAAAAACTCGCCATTCCTTACACAGCGATAGCGACTGCTCCAACGGTTACTTTACCTCGAATCAAAGCTTTAACGACTGGTACTCATCCTCATTGTACTTTTCAATTAAAATTTAAACAATATTAAATTTTATTATTGTATAGGAACTGTACCTAATTTTTTGGACGCAATACTTAACATTGCAGAATCTGATAATTCATCTTCATTAGCATCTCAAGATAATTGGTTAGTACAATTGAAGAACGTTGGTAATAAGTCTATATCATTTTTTGGTGATGATACTTGGATAAAACTTTTTCCTGGTTTATTCCATGAAACGGATGGAACCACTTCTTTCTTCGCTGCGGTATGTATTATCCGGTATCTTTCTAATTTTGTATATGCCTTCTTATCTTAAATTGCAATTGATAAACTTAGGACACAGTTGAAGTTGATGTTAACGTTACTCGAAATGTAGCTCCACAATTGTCAAAGTCTGAGTGGGATGTTTTGATATTTCATTACCTTGGATTGGATCATATTGGACATTCAAGTGGTCCTCGTAGTCCTTTGATGTTACCAAAGCAACACGAGATGGATGAAGTTGTAAAGATGATATACGAGACCATACTGGAACAGGACAAGAAAAGGATTAGGGATGATCTTAATGCGAAGCCCACCCTTTTTGTGTTATGTGGAGACCATGGAATGAATGAGGTTTGAAAATTATATCAATTGCAAATCCAATACATCATTACTAACGAATTCTTATGTAAAGGCAGGAAATCACGGTGGTTCATCTATTGGTGAAATATCAACCGTAAGTTCATTATGACTTTGCGGTTTGGTTTGAATATGTAGGGTTAAAGAAATGTTTTTATTTTTTATTAGGCATTTGTTTTCATGAGTTCCGAATTCATCTCCATGAAGCATGTTCCTGAAACTTTTAGCATACCAAACGATGAGCATTCCATGTCTTTTTACAAAGTTATAAACCAGGTGGATTATGTTTCTACTATTAGCTATTTATTTGGAGTTCCTATTCCAAAGAATAATTTGGGAATTTTGTTGCTAGACTTGATAGGCGATATTGATGGTGATTAAATTAAATTCTTTTCAGAGTTTTTTGATCATTTTTAATCTAAACTCACGTTGGGATTTTACTTTAGCTTTGGAGAAATTGCGTGCGTTACAGTTAAATGCACATCAAATAGCTGGTATATTACAGTCAATTTGGTCATCATTTGATCGTAATCCTAACGTTGCCCAAAGTGAATTGGATTGTGACATTAATTCTGACGACGATCAGGTACAATTACAATGCTTATATTCGAGGGCATATTATAATCACGCCAAGTCTCTGGAATTCAAAGACATCAGCTATATTAATGATGCGTTGTCATTTTATAACAAGGTAGATAATCCCGTAATCTTTTTTTTTTTTTTCATTTTTAGCATATCACTAAACTGTTATATATATATATATATATTTATTAGTTTATTGCAAAGTCTAGTTCCCGTCTTTCATCGAGTTTTAGTGATTATGATCTTGTTTCAATGTTCGTGGGGTTATGCTTTATGATCCTTGCTGTGACATTTTATTTGGTTACAATGGTAAAATCGTATGTTCAATGGAACAAACGATTTAATATTCAAAGTAAAAATCTACAAACTCATTTAGAACTCCTTAGTATACTTGGAACAGTTGGATTTTGTTTCACTTTGTTTGCGAGTAGTTATATTGAAGAAGAACATCAATTTTGGTATTATTGGACACAGACTATGCTGATCTCATTTATCATTTTAAGGCATGTCTCATAAAAGAGTTAATAAGGTTACATTTTCTAGTATGTCTTGAAATTTTATTATTGTTTAATAACTTGATCATAATGATATACAGCTTTAGGTCGAGTATTAAAACACCGTTTATAAAACAAGCATTTGTTCTTGTGTGTAAAATGATATTAATTAGATTAATTAGAGCTTGGAATCAAACCGGTGAGTTATTAATCATAGCAAATTTCGGTTTTTTTCTAAAATGTTTAATTAAATCGATTCGTTATATGTGTTAGGTCAAAAATTTGCTGGAGAGATTGATATAAGGTTCTACCTTAACACATCATACATTAATTTAATGTGGATATTATATTTTAATACAATTTCTGCTTTAACTATAATCACTTTACGAGAAATTCACAAATTATTTGTTATTAATAAATCACGGCAAAGTACTATTTTACAACTTATTACGCAATTATTGGTGATAATCATTGCAATATCTGTAACAAAATATAAGTTAGAATTGGACGGAGATGTGAAATTGTTTCCTAAATTATTTAATTTGATTTCTTTGATTATACGGACAACTCAAATTGCAACACTGGCCAGGATTATTTATATGTTACTTGCTATAAGCCTTGTCCTATGTACATTTGGTATGAAATTAAATGTAAAATTCGAGAAAGGTATTTAAACACCCTTTTTTTAGCATCCTTGATTTAAGTAGTTGATGATAAATTTTTTTTTCAATAGGGTCGAGTATAAGAAATTTTCCGAAAATAACACTATGTTTAATAACATATTTATTTATCTTATTATCAAGACCACATAATGTACCATTATATGGATTATATTATTTACAATATTATTTATTTTTAAAATTAGTTGATTATTCAACTGTTACTGCTACTAATAATGATTCATTATTAACCCCATTATCTTATAATTTTTTAATAATATCATTTGAATTTTTATCATTCTTCTCTTTAGGTAATTCTAATTCTTTATCATCTATTGATATAAGTCATTCATATACCGGTATTAACAACTATAATGTTACATTCGTTGGATTATTAACTTTTTTGGGAAACTGGAGTGGTCCCATTTGGTGGTGTTTTGCCAGTATCATATTAAGAAATGAGATATTAATACGTTGGAAATTAAGTAAAGAAATTCGTAATGAAGAAATTGATATTAGTGAAGAAAAAGTATTTATAAAAGACAAAATAATATATGATTCATCACCTTTAAAGATAACTTTATTTTCTGATTATTATATATATACATCATTGTTTCATTCTATTGTAATATTTACATTATCTATTGGAGTTATGATCTTAAGAAATCATTTATTTATTTGGACGGTATTTTCACCTAAATATTTATTTCAAATAGTTTGGAATATTTTATTTCATTTAGGCATTGAACTAATTTTAATTGGAGCTTTTGAGAGATTAAATAGAATTTGATTAAATAAAATACATTTTAAAAAATTCTTATGAAGTTTTTATGTGAAAGGTTAATGCAGCAGACATCGGGTGATAATTGAAAGTTACGAATATAACAAAAGATCTCGAGAATTTCTTTATATATTTATCTTATTTAATCAAAGTTGCTATAATAATAGATATCAGAATGTAAATATATCATAACGGAATATAAGTTAACTTTATTATTGAAATTAAATAAATATTCAGGCATGAATAAGGAAAAAAAAAAATTAAAAAAAAAATAAACCCGATACAATACCACTATCATGCATAATAAGATGGTGAAATCAACATATCAGATAGAACAGATAATTGATCCTCGTTAAATTGTTTCATGTCTTCATGCCAAGAATCCTGATGTGTTCTCCTAAAATCTGCAAATGTTTTTTTGACAGTTGTCTTGTAATTAAAAATAAAATTTATAATTTAGTTGAGGTAAAATAAACAAGAAATTGAAATACACACATAAATTAGTAACTTACCTGTATAGGAACAGGATCCGATATGCATTCAGCAAGTTTAACCAAAATTTCGGGCATCCACTTTGGAACTTCATATGGGAAAGCATCAACCAAACAAGATAACCCAAGAACAGCCGCATGACGTGTAAGAACAGCTTCTTGAAATCCTGGGGGCAATGTTGCACGAGGAGCTTGTACTGTACGTTTGCGTGGCGGAACTTTGATCTCTAACAGTTTGGTGAACTGATCCTATGAAAATAAAAGGACTATTTAACATCAATCATAAAAAATCAAAATTCCAATTATAAAAATAACGTACTTTTAACTTTGATATGGCTTCTCTTTGTGAACAACGAATTAGACCTGATAACGTGACTGCGGCCAATTGACGGACCTTCATATAATAAAAAGGTTAATTTTAGATGATTAAATATTCAAGCGAGCTATAATTATGACAATAGACATGATATTAAATTAAACCTCGATCTGATTATCTTTCAACATTTTGGAGACCACTTCCATTACTTTATCTGTCTTTTCTTTACTTAACATAAAAAGATGTTTAAAGAAAAATACTTGAAGGACAGGTAAAGCTTTTACTCTAATATGCCAACTTGAAGATTCTGTCAATATTTCGACAAATTTGTCAATCATCATTGGTATCATATCAGGAGGATAAGGATAAGAAGCAATGATGTTTAAAACATGAGTAGCCATGGACTGGAGGTCTTGGTCGTCATTAACGTCTTGCATTAGAAACACTGAAGGCAATAAAGGCAGTATCAACGGATATGTTCCCGTAGCCTGCCACATCGTGAGCGCATCATAAAGCCATGCAAGAACTAAGTTCGAGTGAATAAAATATTAACTCAAAGACATAATACGTTACAAAAGCAGTAAAGATTAAAATAATATTACTTGTCTTGCTAGCATTCCCGTATTCTGAAGATCCAGCTGCAGTTGGCTTTTTTTCCGTACGCAAGACTACCAATGTTTCTACTAAACCCAACAACGTTTGTTTGAGATTTTCATTTAATTCTGATGCAACAAACCCTACACCTTCACCGATTCGGAGATTACTTTCAAGTATCTCTGTAACGTTAGCAGCAGAAGGATGCCATTGTATCTGTAATACTAAATTAATATTTGCTGCTATAGTATCGCGTACTTGTTTATAGGGATGACGAATATTAGCAAAATATTCTTCAAGTAACGGTTGTGTTTTTGGTAGAACGCGCCATGAAAAAACACTAAGAAGCGTGCTTATAAATAATAATTTCTTTGCTTCAGCAAAAGAAGCATGAGATGTAGGGTCAATACGAAATCCTAAAATCAACTCAACAAGAGGCAATACTCGTCGTGGGTCACGATTACGCTAAAACATTGAAATACGAATATTAACATTTTACCATCGAAGATAAATATAACAAATCATATAACTCACCAGGACATAATTCAAAAATCTATCCCAATATACAAGAGAATCGGGAGTTATTGAATTAAAAGTTTGTTCTAATAAAGGAATTAGCCAGCTCCATAATGCTTGTAATCTATTAAGCGGCCAATGTTTACTTCCCCTTATAATACCCGCCAATATTTCTGTTGCGGCACGCTGTTGATTCTTCTCCAGTGATTTGCATAATTTAAGGACCTCTGGTTTAACAATTTCTAAGAAAGAATCCTCATAAATCTGGAAAATACTTTTAAATAGATTTGCATTACAAGTAGAGAAATTATCTTCTTTATCTCTTGAGGTTTCTTGTGATAAATATGATAATAATGTAGACCAAAACAAAGCAGATTCAAAACTTTCAAGCAATTTTTTGTAAGCCGCTTCAGAATCTGGATTAATTTTCGGCATAACAATTTTTGTAGTACGTGGTGAATATGCCACAAAATTTACAGGCCAAATATACCAACCAACACAAACTTTATCTTGAAGCATACTGTTAAGTAAACATAACATTAATTTTAATTTACGATATGAAATAATCAATTTAATAAAGAATTGAAATTCAATAAATTGTTAAAATACAAACATATTCCCTGCATTACTTTCATCAATTGGAGTCATACCGGATATTAAATAGTTATCTGTGTATCCTCCTGATAAAGGACACGGTGTTTCATAAATTCTTTTTAAAGGATTTTCTGATTTACCTAAGGATATTAACTCAAGGTCACCCTTGATAAATGTTCTTTGTTTAATATATAATAGTATTCTTGTCGTCGTTGAAATAGCTATACGTCTTAAACCAGGAAGTTCTGAAACCAAGCCTTTAGCAGAATATTCTGCCATTTCTACGGTAATTGGTGCCTCCGGTCGTACTAAAAGATCTAAGAAATTTGCAGCCATCAACTCGAAGCGCCAATGAAGCGTATTTGATTTGGCCAGTTTTAAAAGAGTATCGACCTAATAAAATAAAATTTAATATTGGATTTCATTTAAAGTTTGTTTATAAAAATTGATGGATAAACTTACAAGACCATAATATTCTCTTTTTTGCATATCTAATCTATCTTCTGTTTTCTTTCGAATTCTATTATATTTATTCTCGTCCATAGTAACAGAAAGAGTTTCTAAAGCTTGTTTTATTGCAACTTCTAAGCCCTTAGTAAAAATTGTCTTTAATGCAGTATTATTATAATTCATAAGATAATCAAAAAAAATTCTACGTATCATTTCTTGTACTGAAGGCTAAAATTTGTAGAGAATGCAGTTATTAGAATATTTCTATATAAATAAATGATAAATTCAAATAGATAATAAGAAATGTTACAAACTTTATCATCATGTTGAGCCTGACATATTTGAGTGATAAATTTAGGCACAAACCGCCAATCTCTCAGACACGTATACATATATGTACGAGACCCAAGTAAATATAAAGCACCTTTCATTCTCTCAGAGTTTGGTTTGTCTAATAATTTTATAAAAAATTAAAATCACAAATTGTAATAATCGCGTAACAAGATTTAAAATTGACTGAATACCAGTTGGCTTTAAAGCATCCAATAAAGTTGGAATGATAAATGGTTTCGCACCAATAAAGCAACGAGACGCATTTGTCAAATGAGATTGGGCTATCCTATAAAATTTTTATAAAAAAAAAATGTTTTAAGATATGAAAATTTATAAAAGCGAAATCAATATTTATCATAAATTTTTTGAAGTCTTTACTTTCTGATTTCTGAATATGAACTAAGGGACAATTCAACTAAATCCTTTAATAAATTATCATGCAATCGAATTCGAAGGCGACCAAACGCATTTTGTTTCAAACGACATAAATGTTGTTGATATGCTCGTTTTACTACAAACAAATAACCAAGTAATAATAATATCAATAAACTAATTTGCACAATGATTAAACAATTATAAAAGCAAAGTGCTTAATTTACCAAGTAAATAACGTGGATATTTCTTATCATGGTGTGAAGTCTTCAACATATTTTTTGCATATTGATAACCACGCTTACTTGCGTCATACTTAGATTTCTCAACACCTCGATCTGTGAGGTAAATTTTGATCATCTACATAAAATTAAAAAAAAATAAATATAAATAAAAAAATAATATATTGAAACATTAACATAAAAATAACGAACCTTGAGGAGAATCTTCAAACTTTCTACATCATCTTCCCGTTGCTTTCGGAAAAAATTTACAAGTTTATGAAGAAATTCTCCCAATTCTTTCCGCAATTGTCGTGCAACTTGTCTTCGTTGATCGTTAGGATTTAAGAAGCAATATCCAGCAGGTATAGATTTTATTGGTTTTACAGCCTCGGTTTCTTCATCTCTAGAATATCAAAATTTGTTATTTTTGTCCTAAATTCTGATCTGTTAATATAAGTTCTTTACTTGAATTCCGAGGCATCATCGTCACCGTCGTCTTCCACCAAAGTAGTCATTCCGCTAAGACAATTTCTGACCACGCTGAACCAACGGCAAAGTTCGTGAGTCATTCCACGGTTACTTAACACCTTTCCATCTTCATCGGTTCCATTTGCCATTAAATCCTCGATTCGTTTTAGAGTAGGTTTTAAGAAAGTATCTATTATTTCCATTGCAAAATCGAGTTCAGAGTCTGTTGGTACATGCCAATCAATATTAATATTATCGTGACACCCGGGTTCAACCCAATATTTATGATGGTTTTTCATATATTCTAAAAAAAAAAATAAAAAAGATCTTTAATATATTATACACTTTGAGATTAGGAATAATGTGTTTAATTCACCGTCAGAATTCCATCGTTTCGTATCAACATTTCGGCATTCTAAAGGATATATTTGCGTCAGAGCAACTAACATCATTCGAATAAATTTTCCTGTCCACATGTATCCTTTCCTTGAACGACATTTTTGCACCATTTCTTTTCCTAGTTCTATTAATTCTTTTTTGTGCTTCAGTAACTCAGATCCACTTGACATGGCCACATGATACAGAATACACTGATACCAATGTAACGTTGTGTCGGATTGGATATGATGCGTTGATGAAGTAGTTGGTGTAGATGATGCACCGTGTTGAAGTTCTGTAAGAATCTTTGAATGACAGAGTGGAATAAAAAGTGCAAGTGCCTTGCTTCGATTTGGACTAGTTAGAGTGGAACATAGATAACCTATAAAATATCAGTTCTTTGTTAACAAATTTCAAATTTTTCTCAAATAAAATAAAAGTATATAAGATAACATTTAATTATTTTTACCCATTGGTTTTGTGGCATTCTGAAGTATAGTCGTAGACGCGAAATCTATAACCATTTTCAATGCCAAATCCTGAAGTTGCTCAGACATTTGAATCCCAACTATTTCACAAGCATGCTAGAAGTAAAGGTAATTCAATATAAATAATAAATTTACTTATTCATTTGAATATCAGAAATGTGTAGTATTTACCAGTAATACAGTAACCAATCCTGTTTCCATATTATGTAAATTTAATTTACCGCGCTCTTGTTGTGGGAGATACTCAAACTAATTAAGACATTCAAAATAAGTAAAGGAATAATAAAGGAACAATAAATAAACATGTTATCATTAGTCATTAAATATGACAAAAAGGATACAATAGTAAAGACACGTCCTAAAAACTTTGCAAGCCATTCTTCAAATGCCGCGGTACTAGCTTTACATAAAGCATCTTCCTCCTGTTCATCAATTTCCATATGGTCTTCACTTTCATCAATATCCATACCAGTCCACCTAAATCCAGACTCAGTGGAATTTCCTTCAGTCAAATCTCTTAAAGGGACTCCCATGATTGCATGAGTCAAAAATATTAAAGATGAAATTGTCTTTATCGGATCATTCATATCAATACCGGGGATTGTTAAATGAAGAAGATGTACCAAATGTTTTCCTCCAGCCGGATAATGAAATCGAGAAAATAACGGAATGGCCAAAAGTGAAAGTGCGGAGATCGAAGACGTTGTTCTATGTGTCTAAAATTACAATATAATTAAATGATGTTATATTAAATATTTAAAATGTTTGAGAAATCAGACCTCAGTTAAGGTTTCAAGAGAAGGATAAACGCGTTCTAGTAGTCCTGGGAAAATCAATGTAGGCTCTAACCCTGTAAAAAGAAAAAAAGAATACGAAATTATGGATTATATTTACAATTTGTTGGATATCATTAAATTCATCATTTTAACAATAATAAGGATACACGCTAAATATTTCAAAGCCGCCTGGCTTGAACCGACAGACAGAGGATCCTTGCCAAACATTGACAAAAACGTAACACTTCTAAGAGTGAGAACAAACTGGCGTCTAAGTTCTGGGGTCAACCGACGTGATTCTGGAGTTTTACATTCCGGCTTGTTTTCTGAGAGGTACGATTCAATTCATAATCAATGATTCAATTTTGAATTTTGAATTTTGCAAGACAACATTAATGAAAATATATACGATTTACTATTGGTAAGAATTATAATAATTTACCATCTGTCCATCGTTTTAAGAATTCCCAACCAAGATACTGCAAAAATCTAACTATCGAAAATGTCCATCTACCAAAATTACTTGGATGATAAAAAGTCTCCGTAGCTTGAATCATATTGGACAAATGTGTGAGAGTCGTTTCATCTTGTGATGAAACAGGCGATGAAAATATTGTAAAAACAATAAATCTAGCCAACATCTTAAACTTATCCTAAAATGATATTAATAGCTAAGAATTTGAAATTATTTGCACTAATTAGAATTAATAATAATGTTGACTTACAACTTTTTTCCTCAACATCATAGCACTTCCAGCTTTTTGATCTACCCTTGTAGACAATCCAAATGATCCACCACTTCTTCCAGAATTATTATTACCATTGTTTGAACTACCAACAGGCAAATCCATCATTTTCTGACCACTTGCAAATACGGTCTTTACTTGAGACTGTGTGAAAATTCCAATATTCCCAAGTTTAACATCTTCAACTACAACGTTTTCCTCAGCGACACGAGCTACAAGATCAATAAATTCTGTTTGAAACAGCAAAGATCCAGGAATAAGATACCAAAATGAAAATATTGTTGGAAGCCATATTGCAGGTGAATACTCGGGTGATTTTGAAGGTCCGATTGGAAGGAATCGAACTAAAAATGCTTGTACAGTAAAAGCATCTCCAACACTATTAGCGTGAAAAAGTGGAAGTACCCTAGCAAGGATATCTTTCGTAGCTTCAGGAGGAAAAAATCTATGAAAGTGATGTAACAAATTATGTTTTAAATTCTTGACCTAATCATTTTACGAAGAATTTTTTTTTTTTTTTTTTACCTTTGAGCATGTTCTACTAAACGAACTACGGCTGAGATCTGTTTACTGAAAAATAATAAAAAATATATATACTAAGGAAAATATATGTCAAATTGAAATTTAGTCACGAATCTAAAAAATTCTAAATTTTAATGGATACGATTCACTTATTAAAGTTTTATGACGGCCCTTTGGAAAGTATATCTTATAAATCATATCATATAACGGTTCCCAAGGCAATGTCAGATCTTCTGGTCCAATTTTTTCTTTTTTTCTTTAATATTTTATTAAATCATTCAAATAAATCAAATTTTTTCTTTTTTTAAAAAAATATATATATAAATATATACATATATAAAATACAACAACAAAATTGACTATGCCTACTTGAGCAATCGAACGCAGGTATTGGAAAAAACTTCAGCATGTGAAGTATCAATTCCTGGCGTGATTACAAGTTCAAAAAGAACGCGAGCTATTTGAGCGCGAGTTTGACGAGATAAAGGGTGTTGTAGGTCAAGATATCTAACATAAAAAGAAGAAATATTGAATTTAGCCATTATTTATGTTTTCGTTTAACTTGCTCTGAAAAATTAACAAAAATTCGGCTCAGAATACTTACCCATTGAGTTGTTTAACCCAATGACTACAACCCGGACCCCAATCTTGAGCTTTTGCAGAAGAACATAAATTTTCGACTATTTCGTTTAATAAACTCTCAGCTTCTCTTTCAAAAGAGAATGAATAAGGAAGATTTTGCGAGAAAGTAGACATTTTGTTATAACATTTATAACATTGAAATTTAGTAAAGCAAAATAAATAAATGATCTGAATCGGATCTAATACGTAATGCCAAATTACGTTTCTTGAAATATTCGTAAAACGATCGGCAAGTTAATTTAAATTCATTATGACGTCCATAATACTCCCTGATAATATTAGCCATTTTTGGTCTTAATTTTTTTGCAGATCGACAATTTTTTTGCAGATCGACAATTTTTTTGACAGGTTACGAATCTTCTTTAGAAAGAGATCATTTCCAAAAAAAGTGATACGGCTTTCAGGAATGATAAAATAAATGATATCTGTTAATTAAAGAAAGTATATAATATAAATTTTATATATAGCTTATATTATTACTTTCTTTATAATCACACTTCTCTTATAAGTATATTTGAGTTAGATCAAAGCCTTCTCTTCTATTAGTATTACAGTCAAGGATTTTATCAAATATAAAAATTAATTTAAGAATCTCTTACTTTTTATATTGATTAATTGCTAAAAACCAAATAAATATATTTTTTGAAAAAGTAAATAAAACCTAAATATTTAATATCATTATAAAATGCTAAAAATGAATACACAATCTAATTATAGCTAATATGTTTTAAACAATCTTTTTATTGTATTTACCTACTAAAAGTAAATGATCTTATATATTTCTCTTTATAAAATTAATTGAAAAATATAATAAAATTAAATTAAAATCATATAAAATAAAGGAAGCATAATAATAATAATATACTAATAATCAGAGTATATTTATATTTAATTATGATTACTGTATTTTTTAAACTTTTCATATAGGCCGATTCGACTCCATTGATTTTATCACCAACGTGACATTTTATGATAATTTGTGATAACTATGACAACCAATAAAAAATTTGTCTCAAAATATGATAAAGATTAGATTGTGTTTGCAACTAACGTGTTAAACTTTTTCTGATTTTTTTATACTTGATATGACGCTCAGATGTTGTCTTTACCAAAAGACTTTTATTTCACGAAAACTACTTTGACTCATGAAAGAACTAAACACTGAAACAACAAAACTATACCACACCTCCATTTATTATTTTGGCTTTCTTTTGAACAACTTATATCTTACCAAGACGTATTTATAATCCTTATTAAAAAGCGTCTTGGTTTCAATAGACATTCTGTGGGATCTAAACAGTTTTTAATAAATGTTTTTCTCGAAAATGTCTTTATTTACTTATTTCAAAGTTAATCTTCATTTAGATATAATACTGTATTATGAAAATATCATTGCACATTTAAAGGTGAAACAAGGGAACAAAGGTTAAAACAAATTTTAAATTATGAATATTAGAGCTGTCGACAGGATCCTAAAACAAAAACAATCAGATATGTACTATTTGTGAATTATGAGAAAAGTCATAAAGTTACTTTTAGTTGAACACAAACAAAACTAGTTGAAAATAATCAGATATTTCAATCTGGTATTATCACTTGCATTTTTACAACAGATTCAGAAGAATTTGTAAACAATAAGATTTTAAATTTTATGTGCAAAATTTATATAAATTAAAGTACTTATTTACTTTTTATTAAAAATGACGAAAAAAAATTACAAGAATCCAAAAGCCATACTACAACACCTACTACCAAAAATAATCAACCGTAATATAGAATTATTTTACCACGCTTTTCTTTTCAACAATTATTCTTAGATCCAAAACACTATATATGATATTTTAATTTTCTTTTTCGTTAGAATCAATATTTCTAGCATTAATTTCTTTGGAAGTTTTGTTAACTAAATAATAGAGTTGACGATTTTCAAAAGACATAATATTATATACTACTGATTTTTTTTCAATTCCACCACCCATAGTGGTATCACCAAAAAATAACTGAATCTAATTAAAAAGTTTATTAATATATATATAAAAAATATATTTTTAAATAAATTTGCAAATTACCTGTTTGTGATTTTTTTCAATACTAGAAGTAGAAAAATATCGTAATGATAAATTTTTCATCTTTAATTGACGCATAAATTGATGCATGTGTTGTGTGAAAATATGCATATAAGGGATTATATCTTGTTTGCAATATAATTCAGGTTTATGTGATATTGAATTGTGATATCCTTCAGTTGCATAATAAAAGGTACAGATCCATTGTTTGGCATCAATTTCAAATGTATTGATTTCTTGGTTCGAAAGAAAGATTTTCTTAAAATTTTATAAAGCCAGAGAAATTCCTTCTATAGTTTTTCAATTTCTTGTCCACAAATGCCAGAAATAAACTGAGAAATTGAAAAGTGTTCCAGTACTTTTTTTTTATCAAGATCCATTAAAGAAGTCTAATCCTATTTTCCACTAGTAGATTTTGACTTGAAAAACTCAAAATGAACTTTAATATTTTGCATTGCTTGTTCAATCTTCAATTTAATTTTTTTTCAAACTCTTTTTTTTTAATTATATCATTAAAAAAGCATTCCATCAAAACATCAACAATGCGTAAAAATAGATGTAATTTATCAGGAATATAATTTTCTTGACTTATTGCAAGAAATAATGCTGGTTTTCTAATTATCAATAAAATATTTATAGCTTTAATTAATTGATAATAAAATAATCATATAAAAAAAATCCTTAAACATACAGGCATGATTTCCTGAATTTTCAAAATTTTGATCTATATCCCAACGTAATTCAGATTGACAGTTACAATATAAACAAAAATACTTTGAATTAGGGACATTCAATCCTATTATTATATACATAAACTTCCAGTAACTGCAAAAAAATAATTCTATTGGCCAATGATTTCTGTCTTTATCATATATTCCATTATTTTGAAGATCAAAAAGCTGATATCAAAATAACTTTACTATTTTAGCAAAGTTATCATATTTTTCTCATCCAACATAAAGACATATACTAAAAAAAAAATATTAATTTAATTAACTTTTTGATTATTTAATTATAATAAATTTATTACCAGTATTGATGTTCTGGTTTTAAAACAACTTCTTCTTCATTTAAAAGACAAATCGTCATCATCACATGGTTTTGCTTATGACCAACATTGCGACTATCTTCACCAAGCTTAAGTTTAAGTGTATCACCAGAATTGATGATTGCAGAAGATGATTTTTTCCATAATGGTATCAAAGTTTGTAAAATTGTATAAATTGACCTATATGCAACATTTTCAATTTCTGCCTCATCAACTATTATACTATCATTAGCTTTTAAATGATTTGACAAATCATCATCACTTTTGTCAATATTAAATATTTCAATTCTAAGATTTTTATTAATAAGATTTGTAATTTTAATTCTATGATTAGCTATCAAATATTCATGTATAAGAAATGCTTCAATTGCAGCAAGTCATCGAGTGCTAACAATGATTCATCATAAGCTCTAACAATAGCGTCTATTTTAGTAAGTTCATTTTTATTATCAGGTGACTTGTAAGTTAAAATAATACTTTCACCATTAAAATCCAATTCAATTTTACAAATATAAACAATTGTTTGATTAGTCTCATCAGTTAATCAATGCTTTTTAATCAAAGATCTAATTGCCTTTCCAGATTCTTTGTCTAAAAACACAAATCTCTTATTTTGTCCTGAAATAGTTTGAATCATTGTTAAAGGCCTTTTTTTTTGTTAACTAATGTAATAGGAATACCCATTGTTTCTAAGCGATATTCATGCAATCGTCCAATATCAAACCCAAAAATATATACACCCGATAAATTAGAATTTAGGCGATTATTTTTCTGTATAATTAAAATCATTAAAAATAATTATTAATTTTAGTTCAAATAATAAGCAGAGATTGATCATATAAGTATCATTAAAAATCAGAGAATTTTACTATAAATATATCACATTCTTGGAATCAATCTTTCCTCCAAGATAAATATATATTTCATAAACATAAATTGAAGTATTAAACATGATATATGTAATTATACTGATTGCCAACTTTTAAAAAAAATAAAAAAATGTTTCATATGAGATAAAAAAAATACAAATTTGTCTTTTACTATGAATTTCAGATTCCAATTTCTCCCCAAATTTTATTAATAAAATTCTCCAGTTCTTAAACGGATCATTAATTACAAATTCAATTTTTTAAAAAAAAAAGATAATAATAATAATATTACCTTTAAGAACGCATTAATCACACTAGTTGCAGAGCGATCACTATATACACTCCACTCTGATCTATTTTCCTTCCACACAATTGTAAACCTTACTTTTTCATTTGGTTGATACTTTGTTTCACAACGGATCTTCATTTTAGAAACTTCAGTTTCAATACTATAGTCATCGGGTATTTGATATTGAATACAATTTTTAGAATTATTTTGTGTAAGTTTAACTGGTGTTGGATAATATCCTAAAGACATTACTTTATACCAAAAATAAAAGGGTCGGTTTCCCGTTATGTATTGTGAAATTATAAAAGGACTTGTAGGATATTGATGAGAAAAATTTCTCGTAGTATAGCCATCTAAATGTGAACGTGTCAATTTTTAATTTTTAACTTGTAATATAGGTTTTAAACTTTTAAATAAAAAAATATTTAGTATCTTTGTAATTTTTCAAACCCCTGTATATAAAAACAAGAAATTTACTAAAAATATGAGAAAGCAAAGAAATAACTTGATGTCAAGACTCGCATTAAATGGCCACAGGGCTTATATTATAATTATTAATGCAGAATAGAGTTTTGTTTCTTTATTGCTTTAGATTTCGATAGAAATTAATAAAATTTGATTTAATTGTTTTTTAAAAAAAAATATGAATTCCATAGCAGAAAGCTTAAGCTAACAAATATTTACAGCCTAACCATAAAAGGTTGTTCAAATAAATAACAAGAATCCTTTGATAAAAGACATATCAGCGACGATATTATCTAGTTTCTAGAAATGTTTGAAATCAGTAATTTTGCATTTATTAGGAAATGAGATTCTTCAACCCATTTTTCGGATTTTTCGAGGTTCCGCCTAATGTTGCAACCGCAGCATAAAATGTACATTACATTTATTATTCATAGTTCGATTTCCATTATTTTTTCCACTGGTTATAAGTTCCTGCGTTGTTTGATAGGTTTCCTACGTTGATTTTTCCATTTGTTGAGAGGGTTTCCACGTTATTTGATAAGTATCTTCTAAAGGCAGATGAAAACATAATGTATTTTTTATTTTATTTTATTTTTTTTCAGAAAAAGAAATCGCGAAAAGAGATAATTTATGGGTAGGGGAGGGGGTATATATACTTTCTGAATACATCGAGACCAATAACCTTGATTGGTGACGAAATACAATAATAAGCATAGTAAAAAAAGTAACAGTACAAGATAAAAAAAGATTCATATGGTATCATTACTCATTAGATTACGATGCTCCGATTCTCGGGTTATAAATTATAAGATTTCTCCGAGCCTGAACTCGTTTAATAGAAATTTGAAGGAAACAATGACGACGAAAAAAATTATTTCAAGTCCGAATGAGACATTACGCCGGCTGTGGCCGTGTGTATTTGCAAGGAACTGACTTCAGATCTTGCAAACTAATCATTTTTTTTCGTACAGATTTATAAGCATCTAACTGATGACTATATTTATTCTACCCAGGATATCGATTATTGGTACAAAATGAAACCGGATCATGGAGTGAATGTTTGAATAATGTGTTAGCATAGGCAAATGAAAAACTGATAGTTTAGGCAATATTATAGAAACAATAGATAGGCTTGAATCCTTTGGATTCCTTACGATTTTTTATTATAAGCAATAAAGCAAAGGTGCATCATGCAATATAGAGGTGTGAATGTTAATAATGTATATACAGTATAAAACTTTTTCTTGGCAAATTTGGACGACCTGAGGTCGTTGTAATTTTGCTACCTTTTGTTATTATTTTAACGAGTTGTTGAATAGATTATCAGATATATAAAAAACTATTATCAAAACATACAAAGCGCAAAACTGAGAATGTCAAGTTTTAAGGCCAGAATCGAGAAAATCGGGTTAGATACTGCTGCTGAGAACGCTGAACTTGGGTTAGAGTCGCGAAATTGGAAAAGGAATGAAGAGCACCAAACATTATTTCTCTTGCGGAAGCTGTTGATATACCTGGTTCCGTAATAGCTCAATAATGCCAACTCCAAATTTTTGGAGGATAGAGATACAGATGCATTCTTGGACGAGGAATGCAAGTTCTCTTCCTACTTCTCAGGGCATCACATCTATCAATTAAAAAGACGAAGAAATATATCGCTTGAAATTGCAACATCAAGTCAAGATCATTTCAAGAAAATCATATGACTGAGGTTTCAACGACCTCGGGTCATGTAAATCATTTGACTAAAATTTCGGATCGCAACATTTATAGTTATCTTAAATAAAAAGACGTTTGATGTGGAAGGGGATGCATTGAAGACCAATCAGGAAGTAATAACATGCTGGTATTTCTATGTCAAAGAATGGTTATGGTCAATAATAAATAACATTGGCGAGAAAAAAGAGAAAAAAGCAAAGGGCAAGTTTAATACTAAGCGAGAAAGTTTATGTAAGAATTATTCGAAAAAAAAAATGATCATGATAATTTATTCAAGCGTCAGATTTCTGAAATTTCAAACGATCTCGGCCTTCAAAAGAATGTGACGCCAAAAACTAATAGATACGCTGGCTAAATCATTAATCTCTGTTCTGAAAAAATTGGATACCAAGGAAAGTGTAACGATCAATTTTGGGCGCAGTCAAATATCGAGGGACTTCCCCTGCGTACCCATCAAAAAATGTCACGTCGGCCCGCATTAAGACTTTTGCAGGCCCATATGCATGATCATGCATGTTGCCGATCCTTAATGTCGGCCATTTCGTGACATTTTTTGATGGGTACGCAGAGGTAGTCAATATCGAGGTATGCAAGTTATTATAATTATAGCCGATCATTTAAATAACTGCATGATACATAAATTAAAACAAGTATTTTTTAAACTTTAATAATTTTAAGAATACTATATTAATTATATTTCGGCCTTTAAGTAGATAATTATTTTTATGTGCTTTCCAGAATTCTGCATACATATTTCATTTATTTCGTCTTAGAAAAAATAGGAAATTTTATTTTATAAACTAGTAGAATTCATTATAATCAAATATATATATATATAAACATGCATAATATTCAAGTATTACAGTAAAAAGAAAGAAAAGAATAGAAAGGAAGTAATTCATTGTGAAATAAATTATTCATATTGCAAAGGGTTTATTAACTAATTTTCATAATAATCCTCTCCAATTTCATCATCATCTTCCCTGCTATTAAACATGGTCGTGTTATTAACGAGGGCTTCATCAACAGCACTTAGGAATTCCTGGATACCAATAATGTATTCAGTTCCAAGCCTAGGGGGTGAATTCACAGGTGACATACAAGGCGATGGAGAGCGAATTATATTATCCACCGAAATTCTACTTGGTAACAGAACAGGACTACTATCGTTACTTGATAAATATGACAAAACTTCATAACCAAGGAATGAAGAAGATAAATCTGAAATTGTTGCTGTTTCTGCAAGTTCATTATCAAAGTAAGAATTATTCGGCTCAGGTAATTGCATATCAACATTTTCATTTGTTAGAGGGGATATCGCGATACTTCCATCAAAAATAAACTCTTCAAGCTCAAAATGTGGACTATCCGGATTAATACTCAAACTTTGTAACAAATTTTCAACCTCTATTTTTCGCATGCCACGCGGGAAATTTACACGCAATTCACACCCATATATCTCAACACCAAAGTCACCATGTCGCAGTAATGCTCCTAATATGGAAATAACTTCCATCATGTGGTTATGTTGCATTTCTGCAATTTCTTGAAGATGTCGAACTAAAGATGAATTTAATTGCGAACCGGGTTTTTGAGAAACGGAATTATTCTTATGTTGCAATAGATCAGACAGAACACCTATAGTAGAATTAATACTATTTGTACTATTAGACATCGAAGTTGAATAATCATTATTCCAGCAAATAGATGAACTAAGTATAATAGACATATAAACTTGAATGCTTTCGCTGTCATTAACAAAGACTTCGGGAGATTTTTCAACAGTTTTGCTCGTTTCTGATAGATTTTTTATATTTGATCTGCAAGCAATCCTTCTATTTGTATTATCTTCGATGATCTTAGAATCTTTAACAATATCAGAAATACCTTTGTTACTATTTAAGACCAAAAATTGACGCCCCATTTCTTTTTCCTTTTTCTTGGTTGTACGTTTATTAATATTACTCAATTCTTGGTTATTTTTGTTTAAAGATTCTTGCTTCTGGAACCATAATGAACCAGATTTACTAGAAAAAGTGGTAAATGGTTTAAAACACAACTGGGCAAGAATTGCACTACTAGTGCTAGTACCATTATTTAACATAACAGGTTGAATAGTAGAGAAATTTCTAACCCCTCGACCAAATATATTACTTGTTCCAACAGGCTGTAGAAAAGCGTGTTGAGAAATTATTCCAAACCCTTGTTGTTTATGGACACGTAGAGGTATTCGTGAAAAAACCACGGGACTTGGCACTGGTTGAAAGGAAAACGCTTTACATATTGAAAAATTATCAAAAAGAAAATTATAAAGTCTAGTTTGTTCTACTGATTTATTTGAAGTTACAAAGTTGTTAACTGGTTTACGTTTTTGTAAGTCAGAAACTTGTTGCTTATTAAAGCAAGTAAATTGTGTTCCACCATTGTGTGTTGTATTGGACTTTGGTCCCTTAGTCCCCAAAGTCGTCAAAAGACGCTCCAGAGGCTCGACCAAAGCCTTTAACTTCTTCAACATTGCGTTCGTATATTTAGCAGCGAACGAAATGAGAAAATCTTGAAAAATGTTTTAAGTCCGTCAATGATGTCTATAAATAGGTATAGCGGTAATATTTTGCCGATCATATACAGTATTCTACAAATCACATAATAAATTAAATTCTTTTAGCTTTAAAGATTTGTCATTGTAATACAATAAAATTATATGCAAATTAGTTAAATTTTTTAATTTTATTTTTAAACTTTATTTTTTATCTTCAAAATATTATCTACTAATATTAATAATTATCCTTTAAATTGTTTAGTAAGCAAATTTACTTGTCAACTCAAAAGAAAGAAATAATTTCTTTATAAAATATTAAATATTAATTTTAGTAATATGGGACCTTTGCAATAGAAAGGGGGGAAACTGCCGGAAAAATTAATTTTACTTTTATATGCCAAATATGATTTTTAGGCTGAAATATTTTCAAATTTAGCATTAACTCATTTTTGATTTTTCCGGCAGTTTCCCCCCTTTCTATTGCAAAGGTCCCATATCATTATTATATAAAATTATATATTTAATCAACTTATTAAAAAGTTTTTAAAATACTTCAATTAAAAATTAAGTTTTAAAATTTTTATTATAATAATTTTTTAAAAATTCTTTAAAAGTTCATATGTTTACATACCAATTAAATCATTTATTATTCTATTTATTATTAATAAAAATATTAAAATTTTTTAATAAATTATAAAAATTGTAATAAAATAAGTTTTTTTTTTTTATAATAAATTTATAATATTAGTGGGATACCATGCTTTAATATAATTATATTAAAGCATGGTATTCTGTTTAAACTAGATTATGTTACCACGTTTTAATCTGATTTTATACTATTACTTACTTATAATATACTGTTACTTACTTACAACCAGTGTTATCATGGGATATAGTTAGGACACTGATAGGACACTGATAGGACAAATGGGACATATATAGGACATAGTTTAGACATATAGTTGGAACATATAGCTGAGACAGCAAATGCTTGAGATATAGGAAATGTACATCACTGCTTACAACTATGCTTTTCTTCTTGATTTTGAGTTATCTATATATCAAATTCTATATTAGGGTTATTAGCCTTTTGTAGTTATTTAGGTATCTGATTTTATGTCAATAGTGTTAGCTTTCTATGCCTGGTTAAATGCTAAATTCTATATTGAAGTGCTTATTCTTCACACCTATCTATACCTTATTAGATATTAGCTTTTATACTGAGAATGTTGACTTTTGTATTAGTTTGAATACCAGGATTTTTGTTGAGAATGCATGCCTATTTGCTTGTCTTTCAAAATACTGAAATAATATTAAAAGATAACAGATGGTGTAGTAGATCTGCAATTAATTTCAGCCATCACTATAATATAATTTTGATCAATTTTTAAAGAATGTGATTTGAGGATCTAACTCAATGTCATGGTAGCATTATAGAGCTAGTAAGAAACTGGCAAGGTATTGACAGGAAGCTAAAATCATTTTATTAATTCACTAATTCTAGATCACTTTTATGCTAACTTAAATACCAAACTTATTTGCAACCTTATCTTTATATTCCATTTGATTACTGTGTTGAAACACAAAATGCTAAACTTGCAATCCATATATTTTACTTTTAATTATCATTTCTTGATTATATAATTGAAACACAAAGTGCTGAACTTGTAATCCATATTTATTTCTTTCTTAATTACCAAAGATATAGCTTATATTTGAAATCCTATTATATTTAACTCATTTGATTGCTGGGTTGAAACACAAAATGCTAAACTTGCAATCCATATATTTTTTCTCTTGATTATCAAATAAGGCATAAAATTCTAAATTAGTTTAGACTTCACAGCTTTTATACTTTTTTTCTTGTATTCTTCTAAGCCTTTTTGCTTTTTTGATCTCTTTTCTACCTATCATCAGTTATACACTAAGTCAAAATTCTTATCTTATCTTTCTTAATAACATTTCAACTTGGAGTACTATCAAATCTATATTTTATTTTATGTCTCTACCTTTCTAGAACTCTTTCTCATATAGTCGCTACTTTTGGATTATTTCTTAAATACCTTTTGAGCTACATATAAAGTGCTAAACTTGCATTTTTATTATTTGTTTAAGTTAATTGCAATCAGAGTAAGCCAGCTTCTACAGTATTAAAGTCCTCTTTTTTGCCTATCATTAGTAGTACCTCTAAGTCCCTATAAATAATTAGTATAAGAAAAGTATACGGAAATAATACATTTTAAAAAACGTATAAAAAACGTAAACAAACAGTATAATAAATTCGTAAATATTTTCGTATACAAGATACTGAAAATTGACTTGTTCCGTATGCAAAAAAATACGAAATTTATACGTCTAATCAGTATATTGTATATGTAATTTTATATAGATTTATACGTTTAATCAGTATATTGTAAAAGTTATTTTTGATTAGTATTTCTATATATTAGATACTAAAAATCGACTTTTTCCGTATAAAAAAACACAGAATTTATGTTTAATCAATATATTGTATACAGAATTTTGCATATATTTTTTATGTCTAATCAGTATATTGTATACATTATTTTTGGTTGCATTTTAACATATAAACATTAAATTATATATGTAATTTTGATTGGATTTTTTATGTTTAATCAGTATATTGTATACATTATTTTTGGTTGAGTTTTAACATATAAACATTAAATTATATATACATTTAATAATTAAATAAATATAACTTTAAAAATTAATTATAAAATTTTTATTAAAATAAAAAAATTAAAAATAAAATAAAAAATAATTATTCTATATAAATTAATAAATTAATAAATTATAATATTAAATAAGAGTTTACAAT